ATTTGCTTTCTTTGCACTCGACATTTCGGACTTCACTTCTCAGCTGTTAGAGCTGACGGTTCTGGGGGTTCGAGAGTGGAAGTTATGAGTTACCATGGAAACTTCGGAACGGAAAATATAATATGTAAATAAAACGCAGCACGCAAAGTGCATCTCGGTGCGTCCATTGTCCCGTTCATTATACATGTCGCTAATGGCTGCTGTTTCCGGTTGAGGTGTAACTAACTGAACAATAGGGGCCGCGCCATAGCTCAAGCGGTTAGTCGCTGGCTTCCCACCGCGGCGGCCCGGATTCCTGGTCAAGTGGGATTTGTGGTGGACAAAGTAGCGCTGGGGCAGGTTTTCTCCGGGTACTTCGGTTTCCCCTGCCAATCTTCGTTCCACCAATTGCTCCACAATCACCCTCACCTACCATCTGGGGCTGGTACAACAGGCCAGAAGTGGCCGCAGTACAAGGGACTTACTCCCACCCCACTAGCAATAAAAAATAACTTAACAATAATGTCTCGCGTAATGGAGCCCAGAATTTGATATCTAAATTTCTAAAATTAAATTTCTGAGTTTCATTGCGGGTGAGGACTCACGTTACTAAATTCTGGGCTGGGAAACATTCTTGGCACCCGGACACGGTCAAATATCAGAAGATATCAAGACCAAATCGATACTCTGTCCTAAACAGAACTTCGGGTAAATTAATAAGCTTAAATGAACGTTCAGTAACGAAAGATCTGTTGTGGTTGGCAGTACTGTAAGAAATTTGCGGAACCGAACAGCTGTTTCAAATGGCACAATTTGCGGCCTCAGCAGTGTGACAATGAGTGTGCTCACGTCAGCACACCACCTCCGTAGCGCTTTCTATTGTCAGAGAACAGCGGTTGTGGAGACTCTGTTGCATATGCTTACTGCAGTTACTCGCAGGGACTGTAATGCTTGTTACGCCTGCCAGACGGCAATTCGGCCCTACATAATAAAGTAACTATACAGTGAACCTGGAGTAAAACACGGTGAAGAGAATAATTATTTAATTCTGTAGAAGTGCTACAAACAGTGGTACCACCAATACACGGAAAGGAACGCTAAGCCCAAACAGTCCCCACGGCCGTTAAAGCTGAGCGATGCTAGAGCCCTCTATTTCCGTCCAATGAAACGAAAGTCTCAGAAGACAGAGCGGGTCGTTCAAGTTCCTTTCTTGCACTGCAGCAACGCTTTATGCAGCGAGAATACAAATGGTAATGCAGAATTCCGTGAAAAGACTAATGTGGAAATGACGTAAGAAATTCAGGAAGAGACGCACAGTGCTCTGAATGAAGACCATGCAAACGAACTTTGCCTTGACGCGCCTATAGCTCAGTCGGTATGGTGACAAGGCCACGAGCTGGACAACCGGACTCGATTCCCGGCAGAAGCAAGGCATTCGCTTTGTTCTCAAAATGTCCATACTGGCTCTGAAGCAAATCCTGGGGTAAAGAGACCGGAAGCGTGAAGCTGATCATTCATCACCATCTAGTGAAGAGGCTAAGAACTCGTAGTGTATACCTCCACTCCCCCATACGTCTTAATGGCACGGTACTTAATTAAGCACATTTACCTTAACGGGTGAGAATGTTGTACGTACACATTTACCCCATGAATCATCACCACGGAAGAACTGAGAACATCCCTTAATTAAAGGAGCTTACGAGGGAGAGTCAGTAAATGGGTTACAAATGGATATAAGACGTAAAACATGTGATATTCGAACCTGGAATAAATATTTATTTCTCGACATGTCCGACTTGTCCCATCGCTTTTCCAGTGCGTCGAGACCCGCAGCATAAAAGTCTTTGTACTGTTGCCTCAGCCACTTCCGCACCTCCGTTTCAACCTCTTCGTCATCAGCGAAACGTTTGCCACGCTTTTCGGCCCATTATGAACCGCTTTACACGACAAACACTTCCTTAAACAGGAAATATTCCTTTATGAATGAATATCCTTTGCAATGAGTCTTTTTTCTCGCAGAAAAACCGCATAACGACGCTTTTCGGTAGTACATTCCTCAAGCACGGTCGGCATTTTGACTACTGATACCAGCTTCTGAACATGCGCATGCGCGTCTGCTACCTAGACTGTCATGAAGGTTGGCTGTGCTGCTACCTAGTGATACACACAGAAAACCTATCACATTCATTACAGCTGCTTTGCTTCCATTTGTGACCTGTTTATTGACTCTCCCTCGTAGTATGAAGCCTTGGCCTTCTGTGCAGGTGTAGCGAATCGGGAAGGATGCGAAACTGACGGCTGTCGTCGCGTACACTTGAAGGACCCGACAAACCTCTGCAACCCAGACGCAGACTGTATAACCAATCTCTTGGCAGACATTCACACTGGAGAACTCTGGGGTATGTTGCTGCAGCTGCAACCACTGTCCCGAGCCGAACGCATAGACACCTCTTCCTATTCGATACCAGAAGGGAAGGCCATGGCTGCCGAAACGTCTCCACCCGTCTGCACCGCCTGACCTTTGTTTTCCGAGCACAGCCAAATGGAACGCACCCGCAATCCAGCAGTGGCTGAGGCAAATCGTGTAAACGGATTCCTTTTCGCTAGATTTCGCTTCCCTTAACAGGGTTACTTTCGGGAGAAATGTTTGTCGGGCTCCAGGGACGCAGGCAAAGAAAGCTACTGATCGCACGAGGCTAGTCTCTACGCAGTCTCTCTCTCGCATTATCTCCCTTCGCTGATATCACTGCAGGAAGTAGAGGCTGTAGCCTCAGGTTGCCCCTTGTCCAAGCGCGTAAGGTTTCAGGAGTTCAAGCGAGAGGGGGGCCCCAGTAAGTTCCCAGCAGCACACGCGAGTGGCTTCTATCCTGGAACTAGCTTCCGAATTTCACATTGTGTCTGCTGGGCCCAACAAGCGCATGCCGCATGAAAAATCAAATTAAGTCAAAACCAGTTTTTTTGGCACGCTCGCAACAGAAATTTGCAAAAGTGCACATATATTTATCGTGTCTGTCTGTCCATATGCAAAAACTCAAGAAATGCTAAACGGGTATTCGTAATTTATTTGTAACTGGAAAACATCGCTAAAAATGTTCCGACGTTTTCCGAATTTGGTTTTAAAAAGACCATCTGCATGAGACGCATGCGCATATCTGCGCGCGCAACTCGCTAAATGTTTGTCGGAAAGAAAAACCTTTCATTTCAAACATGAAATCAGGCGCACTTTTCAACTCGTTACTTAAATCTAACTGTTCACGTAAGAAGAAATATGTAAAGCTGTCCTTGTAACACGCCGTGGAGGCCCATAGGTTTGTGAGACGCCGAGTCTTCCACATTTGACAATTGTCTCACAGATGGCGGTGACGTCAGCCTTACGCGCCGGCCGGCCGCCCTTTATCCCCTATGAATATTCCTGGTACTCATTCCTGTTAAGGGCCGAGTCGACCCCAGGGCCATAGTGCGGCCGAAAGGATTAAGTCAATTTAAAAATCCAGTGACCTCATCGGTAGTCGAACACGCGAACGTTGGGCTTATAGTCCAAAAGTAAATAAATATATAAAATAAGAAAATGTATTTTCAACCACACTTGTAAACAGACTAATTGTAATAATTTATAAATATTTGAATGTGTTCATGCACGCTGCTGCTGTGTGTACTGACATGTCCTGAAGATGGTTTCTGAGACCGAAACCTGTCAAGGATGAAAGACTGAAAAGGAAAGTCTCATTGGACGGAGTTGATGAACCTTTATTAATATTGATAGCGTGACGGACAAGGATGGACCAAATCAAACTCCTCATTTTGTATTTATTTTTCAGTCTTATGGGCACTTGGTAGCGCAGTTGGTTTAGGCACTATGCTAAAAGTCGGATGGTCGGGGGTTCAATTCCCAATGAGATCATTGGACTTTTCAACTGACCTAATCCTTCCAGCCACACTATGGCCCTGGGTCGACTCAGCCTCTAACAGAAATGAGTACCAGGAATCTTCCTGTGAGTAAAGGGCGGCCGGCGCGTAAGGCTGACAACCTCACCTTCAACTGTTAGCCGATTGTCTAGAAAATGTGGGAGCCTCGACGCCTCACAACCATAATTTTACCTTTTTCATATATATTAATTTTATATCAACCCAATAAGACGGGATATTTCTTGAGACGCTGATAGTCACCCAACTTTTCAAATTCTCCATCTTTTATGAAACCCGAAGGTATGTTTCTGTGTCCACAAGAACCCGCCACTGGACCCTATCATGAGCCAACTGAATCCAGTCCACTTCTCCGATCCTGTTCCTCTAACATGTAGAACAAGTTAACTACCAATAAAACAACGAGTTTTGTGTTACTGTGCTTTGTGATCTTGTAGAGCTTCTTGTCAAGGAAACTGGCCACTTCGTGTATGAACACTCAACGTTGGGGGCCAGCTGCTACTGTTCGGCACAAAACAGACATGCAGATCTCGTTAAGTTGTAAGTTTTCTGCAAGGTGCCCGTTTAACGGTTGTTGCCCCTGTGAAGTGTAGTGTCTGCAGCGCGGTTAGCTTTGCATCGACAGACAATACGCGCGCTTCCTGCGCGCCCGTCGCCATAGAAACACAAATTCGAAAGGCAAAATCCTTAGTGCGCATGAGAGAGAAGTGGGAGTGGTCAGCTCTCCGCTCGAAAGAGCAGCGGTTCGAGTACCGAAGTCTGAACACGACACGTATCAAATGTTGCATACTTCGAGACACGGGTTCGGTTCCCGGAAGGGATTTGAAATTCTTGTGTTGTCCACCGATGTGTCCGAACCCACTCTAGCGACCACCGAGCGCTCCAGAGAACCGCCGCGAAGCGCCCGGAATGGGAAACTGAACACTCGTTTTTCTGAATGGGTTGAGCGTTACCTCCACGCCCCCCTACGCTCTCATATAATGAGGCACGGAGTCAGGTTAACATGCACTAATTGCAAGACGAAATCGTTGCATACAAGCCGAATAGTTTCTAGAAAACTGCAAGGACATTAATTTTGTTACGTTGACGGGACTCACCCGGACGGGATCCTGACATGTGATGAACAGCAGACCCACGGAACTGCGACGTGCGAGCAGGGATCGGCAACCAATGGAACTGCTGCGCCGGCCAGCCATGGCCCGCTACATCATGGCGCCGGCAGACCGCGCCTGCAACACAAGCATAGACACTGCCTTGGGAATGAACCGTAGACTCTTGTCAGTGTGAGAACAGCTTGGGCTCGAACCGGAGACTACGTACCGCGAGGTGTTGCCTCCTCCAAGGTCTGAGATACACTGAGCGTCTAGACGCCCTCGCGACTGTAACAATCGATTGCGCGGTGCACCCCCCTCCCGAAACCGCATCCAGCGGCGGTTTCTGCTTCGCCGCGCCGCGCCGCGCCGCTCCGGGCTGGTCCGGCCTGGTCGCCGGCTGTCGTGGTACTCTGCAGTCACTCCCGGAAAGTGCGTGGGTTGTATCTCGTTTATGCAGGACCGCTTCCAAATCCTTTCCAATTCATCATTCATCCCATGATCAAAGGCTGTATAGTCTCGAGAAGAAAGCTTCGTTAAATGACGCACAACGCACACTCCAAGGACAGCCGAAAATGGGCTTAGAAACAAACCCACAGACGGGACTGGAGCGCTGAGAACAGACGAATGCTCTACACTTAAAAAAACAATTTTAATTTTGATTGTTAATATTTATCGTATTTTTTTTTATTCTTTGCTCAATTTATTTTTTAAAGGGGATGGGTTCGTGACTGACTCCCCTATGCCCAAACCCCAATACTCAGACATTCAGATGATCGCGTCCGCTGTGTATGCAGTGCAGTCCACTCACCGACTCCACAAACTGAGGTCCTGGTTTCACCACTCAGTGACGTCGAGTCCCTGCCTAAGCAACAAGACCTTAAGGAGTGTATGGGCGTGGGGATGGAAACGCCAGCACTAGATTCAGTTGAACGTTCAGCTTCACGCTCTCGCCGCTTTGCCTTACGAAACTGAAACACTATGAGCAGGCCCTACGGCCGACTGACCTCACAATAGCGCCTGTGACAGAACTCTCAGCGTCCCTGGCGGGACTTGAAGCCCTGATGCGTCACTAATAACAATAATAATAATAACGCATCTGGATGTGTTTCCGGAAAACTGTAATTTTCATGAATGTGAGTAGTTCTCTTTGAGGGGTTGGGTCAGGTTCAGTCCATTTGGTACGTCGGCCACTAAGAAGCCTATTGTACCAGCCCCGGTTTATAGATGATGAGCGTGGAGCAGTCGGTGGGATGAGAACTGGCAGGGGAAACCGAAGTACACGGAGAAAAACTGCCCCACTCCTACTTTGTTCACCACAAATCCCACAAGACTTGACGTGGGATTAAACCCGGGCCGCCGCTGTGGGAAGCCGGCGACTAACCGCCTCAGCTGTGACTCGGCCTAAATTGAAGTTTCTTGTGGCGCCAGTTCCAAGTTCTGTTCACAAAGCCTGAAGCGAGGAGACCACGCGGAAGATTAGACAGGCGGGCGGTGGGAGGAGGGGGCGTGCTCTGAGTTCTGCTTTCCTATGGGATCTTGTGAACACGGCTTCCATAAAGCGCAGAAAATTTCTTGACAAGCTGAGCGACTGTCAGCATCTCAAAGTCTCTGCTCCATTTCATTTTCCTCTTACCTGGCGTTACTTCCACCCCCTGCAGAGTCCCTGCCCCAGCTTAGCCTGACTGACATCTGTCGCCCTTTCTGTCAGTCCCTACTCTCGCATACTGGGATAACACCTCGAAACCGACAACGACTCGATTTTGTCTCGTCATTTTCAGATCTTGTTGTAGGCTACGTGACGGGGCAATGCTTTCTGCTTAACAATCTTGGGAAAATGAAGTTATTCGCGTTATCACGTGACGTTATTCTTGTGGAATCAGCGCAACTGCCACTGCGCATGCCCCACCATTTCTTTCGGATTTCTCCTCACACACAACTGCAACCACGAGTAAAGTGTCAGACTGTACATAAATTTGGTTTTGCGGGGACAAATTTCCTCTCCATTTGGTCAATATGGGGCACATCCAAAATTAATAACATGAACTAGGTGTACTAATAGTATATATGTACAGTAAACCCTCGCTGATCCGGTCACAGTTAATTCTCATCATCATCATCATCAGTAATCTGTCAGGCGACAGGTCCACAGTCTCTTCCAAAACAGTTTCTCCACTTAATGCGATCTTCTGTTTTTGGAAAGAGACTATCCAGGAAAAGTGATAATGTGGTAGTTTTTCCATTTGCTTTCCACATCGCAGTACAACAGCCGTTCAAACCACTCTGGTCACGCCTGTTGCTATACGAACTTGAACCATCTCGAGCATCATTTGCTCTGTGCTTCAAGTCGCTACTGATGACGCTGCTTCCGACATCAGTTTTTGGTGTCTCTCTTCGTCTGATGCCTACCCTTTGACCTGTCCAGCAAGGGAGGCCCTGCCAGTAGCTACGCTACCGCTGGTATAGCTCTCAGGGTCCTTGGCATACTCAAACCCCCTCACCACGATAAGGTGGAGACAAATATGACAAATGCTGTTCACAGCTGAGTACATGCTTTAAAAGACACATGTCGCATTTAGGAAGGCAGATGAGTCACTTGTCTGTTCAAACAAAACTTGACGGCTTCTTCAAACCTGCATCATTATGTTCAAAACCAAGTACAGCTTCTGAGTTCTCTATCGATGCATAAATGTATTGTCTTTTTTTGGTCTTTAAATAAAGGATCTACAGAGATGTATTTTGTTATTCATTTTCATCAGCACTGCTTATGTCATTCAGGGCCGCATTTTGCTTCACTCATCCACATTATCGCTTAATCCGGACGACCTCCCCCTCCTACAATTACTCCGAATTAGCGAGGTTCTACTGTATAGTCGGGGAAGGTGGTAGCGTAGTTGGTTGAGCCACTATGCCGGATGGTCGGGGGTTCAATTCCCGATGAGATCATTTGACTTTTCAACTAACCTAATCCATCCAGCCGCAGTATGGCCTGGGGTCGACTCAGCCTCTAACAGAAATGAGTACCAGGAATATTCCTGGGGGTAAAGGGCGGCTGGCCGGCGCGTAAGGCTGACGTCACCACCATCTGTGAGACGATTATCAAATGTGAGAACCTCGACGTCTCATAAACCTATGGGCCTCCACGGCCTCTTCCAGGGATAGCTTGTATTGGATTGGTACCTGGATTCACTGAGTACTTGTCTGGGATCTGCAGCGCAAGCTAATTCTCGGTCTCTTGTCTTCGCTGGGTGTTGCTTGGGTGCCAACTTTCCTAGGTCAGGTGCGTCAGGTGTGCTACTGGCTCTCGCATCTCTTTCTGCACACCAGACATTTGATGGGTTTGCTGCTGCCTTATCAACAGCTCTGCTTGTTTCATGGGTTCGAGACCGCGTTAAACTCGCGTTTTCACATGTGGAGTTGTTAGTTGACGCATGCGTACACCTGGTTCACATGCAGCTTAGCCTAGCGTCGCGATCTATCACATCCTTGTTCCGTCTCGCGAGACAGCCTTATGAGACGTGAAGGATGGAGATAATGGAGAACAAACATGCCAAGACAACGGCGCATTTGAAAGAATAGAAAGTTGAAACCCTCTTCTCTTTGTTCCATTACTCAGAAACCGGTACAATATTGACCTCCCATGTTGCAGAAAATGATATTCACTTGTTTCAGAAAGCGACGCATGTTAGAAAGAGGTGCAGTTTACTGGAGACAGCAGGACCGCAGGCGAATTCTGTAATTCTGTGCCCCCTCCCCAATGCTGCGCAGAGTTCGGTCCGTGCGTCTCTACGGACGTAACAACTCGCGACGGATTTTCACGAATCTTAATAACGGAGAATGTTACGACAAACTTTCGATCTCTTTCAATTCCTATTTAAATTGGGAACGTTTAGCCACATCTTCACATGAAGATGCACTCATAATTCTGCGCATGCTTCCCCGGCAATATTTATGCGCGCGAAAACCATGCATTCTGAAGGAACGTTAGAAAAACGAAACACAGTTTTTCTTCTTGCGCACTTTAACCGTTAGGGCGTAAGCTCTATCACATAATGAACTAGTTGTTATGTTTGAAGTACATCCTTGAATTTCCACATCCCCAACAATGGCCTCCCGAACACACTCGCTGTAACGAGTACAGAAGACGGTAAAAAGTCTCTGTAGAGATGTGAACACTATAAAGTCAGTTAATGTGTTTGTGTGTTTGTTATGATCGCCCCCCCCAAACATGAGCACGTCGCGAGTTTAGGATTAACCAGCTGCTCTTTGTAGCTTGGATGCTGCGTTTCCTGTGCGGAAGAAACTGTATGTCGATTAATTTCATATGCCAGATGTAAACAGAAGAAAGGAATATATCTGAGGAACGCTCTTTAAAATATGGAAGAGTGTGGCCTGTAAATCGAAGTCTTATCGTTGTCTCCATTCAGTGGGGAATATGGATTGGCTCAAGCCATTCCCATGATACATTGCAGAACATTACCGTACTGCCCGATGTTGGCCGGCATCTGTAGTGCCCTGCCATCTACCGTCAGACTTCAGAATTAAGAAGTGTGACTTGCCTCCTGACTATGCTGCAATTTGTTGCTCAGCTGTGCAAGGCACTAAGTCTGTCTTCCAGCTCCTGTGCTACAATTTTTTTTTATTAAATTTTTTGTACTTAATATCCACACTTAATGGATAGATTGTATAATCATTGGAGTTATAAAAAAAAAAATTTCGGGAGGCCTTGAGTAGAAGATCCGATGGATTTAGAATCGCTGGGAGTAGAGTTTAAATTCTGGACCATTAACTAATTCACATACCAAGCAGAGTCCTTGCGAAGCTAATGGTCGCTCACTTAGTAAAGAAATTTCAGTCCTTTATGGAGCCTGAAAGTTCATTACCGTATTCACAACAGCCCACCACCTATGTACTTTACACATTACAGCCTCTGAAGGCACCGTCAAATAGCGAGTTCTCTTTGTGAAACTGAATTTAAGGAAGGACAGTTGAATAAAATAAGGATGATGATGATGATTATAGAGAGGTGTCTTCGGCAAAGGTGGTCACTGTAAAACCAACTGAAACACAATCTTCTATTTCTGCCATCTACCGATAAATGAAATTAAATTTGTATTTGGTTTCCATGGAAACGACATGACGACAAGCATTATTGCGACACTCAGTCCCCGTCGCAGAGTGACTGCATGTGTATTGCGAATTCAAACACAGACCGTCGGAATACTAAGGGAAGAGAGATAATATTAAAATGAATCATGGAGAAATTCATTGTGACGACTAGAATTGGTTTGAAATTGTTTTGGATAAATTCGAATATGAGACCTTGGTGCTGGCAGTAAGGAAACAGGGGCGAAGGTGTACACTCCGACTGCACGGCGGTTTAGAGGGGCCGCCTCTCCTCACCCCTTTTCGGGTTCCTACCTGGAGTCCTCGCTGTCCTTCCCGTGCTCTTCCTTAGCCACTCCAACCGCATGTCGTTTCTATGCAGGTAATTAAGCACCACGCCATGAGGATCCTTGACCTCGGTACTAGGTGGAGGTGTCAGCTTCACGCCCCTGCCGCTTTACCCCCGGGAAAAGAAGCCTCCTGTACCCACTGGATAGGAGGCTTGGTGGGCCCAAGAGAGGAAAAAAGTCTCTTGCCTCAACCCGGAATCGACCCCCGATTCCTCGGTTGTTTAGCCCTTAGTTTAGTCGCTATACCGACTGAGCTATCCCGGCTCCTAATGTCGGAATATTACCTCACATTTCCTTCCAAATCCTTTCCGATTGACCCTGTGAGGCCGTGTTGCCTGGTAGGAACAAGTTGCAGATGACGGCGCTGTGAGGTGACAGTTGAATAGCGATGCGGCTAGGTAATGTATCCGGCAACACAACAAGGAAAATGGCGTCTCATAGACTGACTTTATTGTTTACCGGGGACCGTCATCAGGCAGTGTATACAGTAAATGTGGCGAAGTTAATTGAAATCGCAACATGGATCCACATTGTGGTGCAACGCGTCCATATTATAAAAGTCGTAGAAAACTGTGCCTTGTGTTATTAGGAAAATTACAATATATAAAAAATATTAGAAATATTATCGTCTACAAGAATTTGTATTTAAAATATTAGTGGAGATAATTAAAAGATATTGTATATTCCGAATACATGATTTTATAATACGGATAAGTTTTTTTTATTGCTAGTGCGGCCACTTGTGGCCTATTGTACCAGCCCCAGATGATAGGTGAGGGTGATTGTGGAGCAATTGGTAGAATGAAGATTGGCAGGGGAAACCGAAGTACTCGGAGGAAACCTGACCCAGCGCCACTTTGTCCACCACAAATCCCACTTGACCAGACCCGGGATGTAACCCGGTCCGCCGCGGTGGGAAGCCAGCGACTAACCGCTTGAGCTATGACGCGGCCCCGGATAAAGGGTTAGACATTACACGAGTAAAAAAACTAAAAATATTAAAACAGTATTATAATATTATGGAGTTATGAAGTTAATTCCTCATATGGAGCTGAAGGTTCCGATGTGTTGCAGGTCATTTGAACCCACGTTGTTTTTAGCTTCTCATGGTGCGTATGTTCGCCCAGAGCTGTGTTGTGGACCTGGGGCCTGCTTCAGTATGTTAATTTGTATGCTAAATAACGTCTTGGATATGAGCCGTAATGCATTGTTTACTATCTCAATGTGTAGGTGCGTCGTGTCTTCGCGTGATTCGGCCCATGTCCCATTGAATGCTAAATAATCTTTGAAGTGAGGCAACGTCGTTAAATATACACTACCAATAAACGAAAGACGTTGTTTGTGTTCTTTTAGCGAAGCGGTGAGTAGCTCCGAATGGTGGGATGAATTGGAAAGGATGTGGAAGGAGCTGGTCGTGGCCTATGTTTTCATGGCGTTTTCCTGGAGCGACTGAGGAAAACAGCAGGATACCTGAAGAATGCAGTCGTTGACACAAGAACTAAACGGCGCCACATGCCAGAAAACGGCATTCTTCATAGCCATCGCCGTGAGAACCTCAGGTGTGACACAGCAGACCAACTCGGTCAGGACAGCCGTTCTGCAGTTCGAGCTGAGCACAAGGTTCGCAGAAACTGGTCGTTTTGGAGAAAAGAGCATTTCGAAATGAAGAATACAACAGATGTCATGTTTAAGTTTTCTTTTTGTAGAGTTGTAATGATGAGGTCCATCTGCTGAATACATACTGCACATATCTTGACACTAGAAAAATCGATGACTTTTTAAAGCTTACGTACTATTAGTTCCTCGTTTTCGGCTCATCTATGGACACATGCCTATGTGTGGCTTACAGCAGCATCCATTACTTATTTATTCCTCGCTGCAGCAAGCTACCAAACGCAACGGAAATGTTTGTATAACGGTATGAAAAGATTGCGCATGTTTGTGACAGCGTCATAGTCACGTGTTTCCATTTTATAATTGCTTAACCCAATGGCCAATGATAGAAGGAAAGGAACTGTTTACAAATAGCTTATCCTTCAGAAACATAATCCGCTTCCTGGGAACTGTTGTTTTCTAAGCTGTTCGTAACTTCTTCACGTTTTTCATCGGTTTCCCGTGTAGGTAAACCGGTTGAATTTTATTCCCCAAGACGAGGAGTGAAATGTTCCTTCGTCACATGATGCAATTTTGGTTCAATATGGCGGAAGCGTTTTCAAATTAAACCCTGTAAACAGTCCCCCTCCCCTTTCCAACCCGCTGGTAACCTATATACGTCAGTCTGAATCGATTCCTAATCGAAATTTATTGCGAAGAAGACGGAGGCCATTGAAGGTACCGATTAATTCAACTGTGTTTACGCTTAAATTGAGCAAGCCCCGAGTCTCTAAAAATGTAAATAAAGATATCATGTGGAAGATGAATACTTTTACGAAAGAACACGACAAAGAAAATAAATATTCCCACCTATCCCTTACACAGAGTTCGAGAAACTCGAGCCACTGACCTCATAATGCGTAGTTGTGCAGGTAGCAGACAGTGTACTCTGCCGACAAATATGCGAACCATAAATATTTGTCTCCCGGATGATTAACCGAATAATGTGACGAAATGAAGTTTTTAACCATTATGATTCATGTCTGGCAGGTTAGCTCCAGAATTGAATTATATTCCGTGACTAAGCTCGTTTTCCTCCTCTCTCCTATGAAAAACGTAATGTACCAGACCCAATTTACTGCGCATTTCAAAACGTAAACATGCCGACAAGTGGCGCGCTTCGTGGATATTGGAGGAACCTTACGACGTAAAAATCTGTCTAGTGCTGCTGCAATTGGTCGTAGTGGCCGTGTGGCAAACTGAAGTAGAGTGTTTGCTGAGAGGACATGAGTTTGTTTTGGTGCTGGCGTAGAGTTGCAGCTTGTGGTGTTTTTTAGTTTGTCTCGGGTTTTATGTTGCAGCTTCGGGCAATGGAAACTACAGAAGCAAATGATTTGTGTTCTGATTGATGTGAGTAATGCGTCATTACGTTTGAAGGTAAGACATTATTATTTACATTGGTACGTTATTAATAAAACAGATTGTTCAGTTTAATAAGGATACACTTACAGTTGTGGTCACAAATTAAATTAATTTGATAATAGAAATGTCGTTGACTGTAGTTAATCAGTTCATGTAAGAGACCATTTTACTACGGAAGTTACAGGGGATGAGGAAGGAAGTAAGAGGTTCGAACGTAGGTGGAATGCCACGTCTGTAGTAAATGTTTGTCACTAGTGAACTCATTCATACGCGTAGCCTTATCGCGCCATTGCGTATTGTTATCGCTGTGCGTTCTGTGTTTATTCCAACCGACAGCTGCTGTGACGCAGTTGAGGCTTTCTGCAGCTACATCAATAGTTACGTGGCTGTTTTTAGAGTGATACACCCCATGCTCTGCGACGTATAGGGTGAAGCTTTTTGTCATTATTTATACTTGTTCCCTTCTCGAGACACGTTTTTTTTGTATGAGAAATTGTCATTTTCCAAAATAGGGTTGCCTAACGGCAGAATGTAGCCGGAGAAGAGAATGTGATACGTAATGTACTCGCCAAATTAACAGCTTCCCCCCTCTCCTATGGTATGGAAGAATTGACCGTTGAGAGGTTGAATGGCGCAGGAAAGTTTAGTCTGCCGAAAGAGAGGCAGCGTTTACAAATCGACTGATGTTCATGCGGGCGGTACCGATGTCTAAATGTGTTGGATTGTTTTCACAAATCGCCCACAATTAGTTTCTAGCCAGACGCAAATTAGAAGCAACTTTCCGTGCAATTTACATTTTCAAGATTCAGAAATTGGATTTATGAAAGTAGGCAGTTAAACCTCTGCGTGTTACGGACTTGCTCTCTGATAGTAGTATTAGGCCTATTCCTAGAAAGAGCAGTTTATCTATGGGCAGGAAGTTTTTCCCAGAAGAGAAATAAAACGTTCATGGGCAGTAGAAAGCAGAATTTTTGAGCGTTGGTCGCAGTTCTCCAGAAGTGAAAAGCATCCAGCCTTTATAAAGTAAATTTAATATTTCCCCATTTGAGATGGAGTTTGACTGAAAGAGTTTCAGCGGGAGATTAGTGTCTGTTGTGTGGGATTTTGTAGAATTAGCACTGTAGTTATTGTTCTGAAGCAACGAAACCAAGGCCCTTGTCTTCACATCGATACGGGAGTTGGCGCCCAAACGACCTCCGCTACCCACGCAAGCTCCGCCTTATTACGTTACTTGATAGTACGAGTGTGCAAACAACAACATTATTATTATTATTATCATTATCATTATCATCATCCCCTAAATGAAACCAGTAGCAAGCTCCGCATAGGTTATCGTTTCCTCTTTAGAAATGCCTTAAAACCAGTACTGTTGTACTTTGTTTTAGAATACATCAGGAAGTTGCGTGGGACATCAGTTTCTGGACATGCCGATGTTAATTTGTTGGGGAGAACGATAGGACCTGAGCTCTAATTGACGATAGTAATGAGGGGTTGGTCTAGAAGAAAACACGGGATAAAACTAAGTGTATGTTGATGTCTTGTGACTAGAATATAGGGCAATATCATAGCATACAGAGAGCTAATGCATCCTTCAGTTTTCGGAATCGACGCTGACAAGTCATGAAGAAACTGAAAGTACAAGTTCTAATGCCTGCTGGTGGTGGTGGTGGTGGTGGTGGTAGTAGTAACAACATTGATTCAGTTCCTTTATTTGAGTACCTGCCACAGCACGTAGCGTGTAAGAAGCTGTCTGAATGTGTAAAAGGTAAAGTTGTCCCTGTGCTTAACTAATTAAGCACTGTGCCATGAAGGCGTATGGGGGAGTGGATGTATAGATCCACATTTCTTTGACCTCGGCACTAGTTGGAGGTGAGTGGTCAGCTTCACGCCCCGGCCGCTTTACTCCCAGAAAAGAGGCCCAGGTACCCATTGAATAGGAGGTTGGGTGGACCCCAGAGCCGGTGTGGACGATTGGAGAAGCGAAAATTCTTGACCCTACCGGGACTCGAACTCCGACCCCTCGGTCGTCCAGCTCATAGCCAGCCGCTATACCGACTACACTATTACGGTTCCGTGTACAAAACAAAAAAGTGAAAAAATGGAAACTGAAGTTACCTGAACAGAAGGAAAGGGGAAGCACAGTAGATCATTCATTCATACCCGAACAGAAACACCGACCAAATAATTGCTGGAGGAGCTATCCGCACTTTGCTGGAAGTGGCACACCTAGTGGAAGAATCAAGTCTCGAAGCATTGGTCCCATTATCCCTTTAAAGCTCAGTGGCTAGTGTATATTTACTACCCGCGCTAACATACAGAAACCCTTCATTCTGCAGGGCGGTGTTCTCACAGTAAACAGGAGTAACCGGTTGGTCTCTGTAGCGGTGACGTAATGTGTTTCCTGTGAGGTACGGACTGAATTCATATATATTATTTCGAAGCGAGTAGGTTAAGAAGTGGAAACGTCCCCGACTTGCGTAGCGGGTACACAGAGACGGTGAGTTTGTGCTTTGAAAACAAATCACATAAAGTCTTTACTTTTTAAAATCAATAATGCATGTAGATTATGCGTACAGTCTTCTGGGTTATGAAGTCGTGTACCCCGATAGATGGTTGGAATAGTAGTATTATTGTCTGACTTGTCAAGCACAGTAGACCACTGTAGGTCGCGGTGCAAGGGCCGAGAAGGCCTACCCCTCATACATTCGTTATGACTGACTTCTTGGGCTCCTGGAGCACGGTTCTTGAGACGCTGAAATTCTACGCATTTTATGGACCCCCCCCCACAAAGAGTTCCATGGTTACTGGGTGCCGGGATTGCCCTGGGCTACGGACCTGATTTTTCTCTATTCCACAGCGTCCATTCCGGCTCTTGGGACCCACGCAACGTCCAGTCCGGTTGGTACCAGGGGTAAAGCGGCCGAGGCGTGAAGCAGACCACTCTTCTTCCTTCCAGTTCTGAGGCCAAGAATGGTGGAGCTTTGCTGCTACTCCCCCAGACGTTTTTATGGCGAGGCGCTTAATTAAAGGGACAACTTTACCGTGGAGCTGTTATCTCCATGATCATAATCAGACATGTCACATGTAGAGTGTAGCTCAGCAGACGTCGTGCAGTGTCGGCTGTCTGCTGTTTAGACTATTTTTTCATCTTTGGAGCTAGGTCAGAAGGTCATAAGTCAGAGATGATTATGGGTCATCAGTTGACTCATAGCTTTTGTACCAATGAGACGTCGTTGTTTCTGACCAAGGTACAGAGCCTGGAACTTCCATTGTGTAAGAGACACTCCATGATGGCGTTTGTTCGGATCCGGGAGGCGGGATAGCTCAGTTGGTATAGTGACTAGGCCATCAGGTTGCGGACCCGCTCCTGTCCAGTGGTTGCAGGGGTCTCTTCCTCGGGGATAAAGCGGCCGGGGCGTTAAGTTGTCTGGAGCCGAGGTTACGAATGGTGCAGCTATACATCCACAGCTTAACTAAGCACAGGGGCAACTTTACCACTCAGCGTAGAGTTACCATACCGCTGTCAATGTCGGCAGGGCCATTTTAGAAACTGCTCATGCCCATGAACTTCAGACGCTTGCATTCGCAACATAATTGCCAGTTTCTTGTGACGACTGGGTTCTTACGTCCTGTAGTTCGGAGAGAGATCGACGTTTCGGAGCAGCATGTCGTCTGAATCTTCAACGTCGAGGAGGAAACGAAGCAAGAAACCAGCAAAACTCGGGAAGATCGCACTCTTCATTATAAATTTAAAATTCTTGATACTTTTTGACCAAATTGCGTACTAGTACAGGTTTTCCAAATATCTTACTCTATACACACACAAGTTTGCCGCATCATCATTTCAGTAATTTTTTATATAGAAAGAAAGAATCTTAAGACACGTCGTCATGCAGACTTGCACGTATTTAGTTAGAAATGCCGATAAAACCGGCAAGCAGTCAGGTGGCGTCTCTATCGGCGTTCCCGCTAACTCTTTGCATCTGACGTGGAGAGGACATTACATTACTTTGTGTGTGTACGTATGTGTATGTGTAAGAGAGGGAGAGAGAGAGTGGTAAGCTCTGAGGGTTGTTGACTAGGGCATTAGTTGCCATAATAATCTTGCGTATTATATAATGGTTAAATTAGACCGCGCATGACACAAAATAATAATTAACGACGCAGTTATTAAACAGGCGAGCACATGCATTTATTTGGGAAAGGAACTAAGTTCAGAAGGAAAATTGAAGGAGAGATAAACAGAGGAATGCGAGCCTGTTGCAGCTGTTGTCAGATGTAATAACATCTAAACGCCGAAACGTGGACACTGACAAAGGGAAAGATTTTTTTTATTGCTATTGGGGTGGGACTATGTCCCTTGCGCTGCGGCCACTTCTGACCTATTGTACCAGCCCCAGATGATAGGTGAGGGTGATTGTGGAGCAATTGGTGGAATGAAGATTGGCAGGGGAAACAGAAGTTTTTTTTCCCCCTTGGCACTACAGCCCCAGTGGGCCTAGGCCTACCTCCATGAACTTCTCCGCTCACTTCGGTTTTTATAGAT